GTTTCCTCCTGCTGGAAGATGATGAATACATGAGGAGAGAGGCTCTGAGCCTGCTACTGTGCTGCGGGAGTGTCTCTCCGTGCCTCCCTCCCCTCTCCCTGCTTCTGTGTGTGTGTTTGGCTGCCCGGCTGTGTGTGCGTGTACACTGTGTATATATATCTGAGCTGGGAGGTTATTGCAAGCTCCTCTCAGCAGCGCTCCTCTGTACAGGAAGAAGGGCTCAGCTGCAGTGGTAGCATCAACAGCAGCAATAGCAGCACCAACTGCTTTTTTCGCCTTTCTTCCTTCCCTTCATCTCCATTTCCCTTTTCCCTCCCTCCTCCTACGTCTTTTGGGGGATTGCTTTTCATAATTTTTTAAATTATTTATTTTTCTCCTCTACGATCCTTGTTATTTGATACTTCGTGGCTTTTTATCTTCTTTTTTTTTTTTTTCCTTCCTCCCCTTCCTCTGAGAAGGAGGCACAGAAACAGACACGCACAAACACAGAAATAAGGAAGGGAAAGAAAAGTACCGGGACTTATCCTGCTGCTGCAAACCCAAAGATAGCAGACGAAGAGGGGGTTTGGCTAGCCCTGCCCCCTTTACCTCCTCGACACCTCCTCCGAGGAAGAGAAGGAGAGGGAGCGAAGGGGGCCAAAGTGGAGAAAAGCAGGTCTTCTGCGGCTGGTATTTGGAGTATAAGGAGCCAGGAAGTGAAGGATGGTTGTGGTTACCCGAGCTGGCTGCAGGGCAGCTCTCTTCCTCTGGATTTTCATCAGCATTAGCTGCAGAGCCAGGACTGCTCTGCCTGCATCTCGTAAGTACCCTTTTCTAAGAAACACGCACAATTTCAGCTCTGCAGAAAGCCGGAGGGAAATTCCCACAACTCTATGAGGCTGATTATTTCTTCTTTGATGATGAATACGGTGTTTGATTGTGTTTGATTTTTCTCTGTATGCGTATGAGTGCACTGAGCTCTGATACTGTTTGCAGTGCTCCCCATCAGATCTTCCTTGGTGATTTCAGTGGTAGCTGGTGTGAAAAGTTGAAAGATACCTGTTCTGTGATGTTAACTTGGTTCTGCAATGGAGTCAGAGGGAGAAAGGAATCAGAAGCTGTTCAAAGTTTRGGGGTAGTTTTTGTTTGGCTGGTTGGTTTGTTTTGGTTTGGTTTTYCCCATCTTCCTCAGAAGGGATGCAATTTGCATTTGAAGTACTTCACTTCCACGGTTTTGAGAGGGATAAGAGGAGATGTGASCAGTTTCCAAAAACTAGTGTTTTATCGAGGAGTAGAAAGAGAAAATTCTGTCTCATTTGAAGAGGAAAGGATGATTGTGAGTTGATGAGAGGGAACTGAGCCAGGACAGCTTTTCTTGAGAGTGAAGTTTTGCTGGCCATAATAGATTGAGCCRAGGTATTTTAGGGGAGACCATCAATTGCCCTCCTAGGGAGGCAGAAATAGTAGAGAAATGAGCAAGCATCTGCTGAAATGCTGAAACCAGAGTGTAGAGCACCTGTACAGAACCCGATTCAGCTATGAGGTTAAAAATGACAGCATATTCATTTATTTCAGTTGTTATTAGATCAAATCTTTAACATTGCACTGAGCTGCAGTTTTGAGAAAAACATTTTGCAAGTAGATGTCAGTATTAAGTATTTTGTTGTTTCTCTTCACATCATGTAAAACATTTGCCAATTGCCAAGTATTTTTKAAATGCATACTGAAATGAAACAGTGCATTTTTATGGAATCATCATCATACTGGTTGRCTTAATCAACTGTTTATAGAGGAAAGAAGTGTCCTGAAATGTTACAGATAGATGTGCTGGGGTTGTGTACATGTGAATGGGGGTTGATTCTACTGACCAAGCAGGGGATTGTCACAGAAGGTAATATATGAACTGCATGGAGRTCTATGTGGATCACTCTATTTATTTATTTATTTTATTGTTTCCTTGGGGGCAGAAATAATTAAGGAGCTGGAGCAGTGTTATGCATTCTCAGTGTGTTTCTATCTGTTATCATCTGATACCTAATGAAAAATAAAACAGTGTTATTCCAGGATTTACTTGTGTATTTGTCTGTGTGTCAACAAATATGCACAACAGTGTCTGYGTTGTTATCTAGGTCTCAGAGGCTGAGGATGTTCAGTAATTTTCCTGCCTTTGAATTAGAGGGAGTATTGATCCTGAGGTTTAGCTCTTAGTTTTGACCAGCTATGTAATTTTTCTTAGGAATATTATTTTTTCATGGTCATCTCTCAGGCTCTGCATAACAGGAATGTGTGGGGGTGAGGATTCATGATTTAGGTTGTCAGAAATCTGTTCTTGGAAAACAAAGTCTCTGCTTTTCTCTAATGGGGTTTTGGAGTTTTTTTTGTATGTTTTTGTCACTCAGCAGCTTACGGCTGTAGTTTAAAATGACCTGCAGTGGGTTATCTGATTTCCCAACAAACACATCTTTAACTTTTGAACGAAGTTTGTTGAGAAGTTAATGGTTGCAGTAATATCACTATAACCAGAAACTCCAGGAATAAAGGATATATATAATCTTAATTACAATTTACTCATATACATTCCCATCTGGATAATTAGCTATTCAAAGATTTCTTTATATTAATTCATCTTCCAAGAGCTTATACATTATACTCCTTATGTAGTGAGTAGCATTTTATTTCTGACTCACTTCTGAAAGTGAAATGGAACTAGATTTGTTTACTGGAAACACAAGTATAGCTAGAAGTACACGTCAGCCTTCAATTTACAAAAGGAATGTTCACATTGCAGCACATGCTGAAAATTCTTTTAAAGGCTTATGTGTGCTTGGGAAGTGGTACCACAGTGGGGACTCAAGTGCTGTGTCACAGTGTTTTGGTGCACCACTTCACTGGTTATTCTGTTACATGCTTTGCTCTACAAACTGGTCGCTGTGCTGTATTTTTGTCACTGTGCTCTCTTTCCTGGTGTTTGTAACTTTGTATGCAACTGATTGTGAATGGGATTGGAGAATTTTATTCTCTGTTGACAAGATGATGCACTTAGCTTTTTATTTCTCTCCCTTTTTATTTTTTTTCTTCCCTCTATCAATTTTGAAAATAATACTAGGAATATTTCTGAAAGAATTAAAACCTACGTGAAATGCAACTTTGATGTAAAACTTATTTCCAACCACTCTTTAATTTTCTTCTCCATTGTTACTCTATGTTTTGGCTTTGAAGTAATTAACAACAGCAAATTTACTCTTTACAGTATTTTTAGAACATATGCAAGACAGTGTACAGTGAAWTAAAAATCCCTGTATATGAGCTTGCCATTCACTATTTTCTTGCAGTCTACTTGCACTGGCATAGAAAAACATACAGTTTTCAAAGAGAATAAAATTGGACATTGCTTATATGAATACACTGCRTCTCAGATATTTGTTTACTTTGCAAAGGCAGTAAATCTATCTCTGTCATCAAAATGAAATTTCTCAGTAACACTGATTCAGAAGTGWTCATGTTGAAAGCTTTTAATCTCATTCAGTTTTATCTCAAGCTGAAGTGGGTGTTGAAAGCCCATCCTGTAGTATGATAAACATACATTGTGATACAATATCACACACACTAACACTCAGATCTTACTGTCAATTCTATTCATGGCCATGTTTTCATGCCTTGGCAATACATTCTTCATATTCCTGCATTTTTTATTTTTTATTTTTAATAAGCAAGGAGGGATAAAAACACTTTTCCAGAATCAAGGCTAATGAACAGCTCAACCAGGAGAGGTCATCACAAGATAAAAAGTAACACTGAAAATACAAATTTAGTGTTTTATAGTCTTTTACATGGCTAAGATGGAATGATAAGAATATGAATATGAGTAGACTAACTTTCATTTGTACTCCAGTACAACACAAAGCAGCAACCTTGTTACTTAATAAGAATGTTAATGGTATTCATCATAGGATCATCTGCTTCTTTGTGAAAGTAATTCACTTTGTCTTTTACAGCTAGGGTTTTGGGGGTTTTGGGTTGTCTCTGTTTTTATGCGATGCAAACCTGTCAGTACAGACCTATTAAAACTTCTAATTCTGGTACTTTTCATGCTTTTGTAGTAGGCCACACACCTCTACTGAAGTTGAAATTTGAACCCATTTTACAAGACTTGGTGCAGAAATTAAATGGGGGGCATGGATAGTAAATCATTAAGATATGTAAAAGAAAAAGCTTGCATCTTTTATTTTTGACTGCATGACACCAAGATTTTCCTGGAAAAAGTATTGAAAAAGGGCAATGTCCCTTTTGAAGGAGTAAGACATTGTGTAAGGAAGTCCTTTTTAAGAGTTCTGGCCTATGTGGAATTACCTTCCAGTTCATGGTGCTTGAATGTTGGGTGTATKGGGTGTCATATATTCTATAAGATTCACACTTGGGGAATAGTTATCTTCCAGATAATATCTCAGACACAATGATATTTTTGAAAATATGCTGATCTTTTATTTTTTTTTAATGTTATAACTGATTAACCTTTCTTAGTTTAGGTCCTGTTGTCTTAACTAAGATTAACTAAGATGTCCCACAGAATTTAGTTTCCAATATACCAAACCCTTTCATGTATGCTTAACATTTAATAATTTTTCTTACCTTTGGGGTCAAAGCATTTAAAAATATACTAAACTTCYAAACTGAGGACCTAAGTTTATTTTAGTACCATGGAATTTCATAACATTAAATATATATTTTCTCATATGTTCTTTTAGAACACTTCAGCTATAAATTAAACCAAAGTTTACATCCATCATTGTATAATTGTATTATTATTTAATGTGCTATTTATCACTATATAATAAAATTCATGTTCAACAGACAAGTGACAGTTTTACTGAGTTACTGCTGTTATTTAACAACATTGTATTGAGTTACTCATCATGACTCTTTAAATAAATAGTCTTTTTTTAGAGCAAAATATTAACTTACGTGTTGATGAATGAAATAGCATCAAATAGTCTGCTGTGATTCCAAAACTGGGGACAGCAGCCAGAGCCTGTGTCAATGTTGAAGATCCAAAGTTTCTAAGATGCAATGTGTATGCAACATTTCACAAAACCTGATTGCAGACATTCACCTGTATAYAGCAAGTCTGATTCAAAGTTTGGCATCAGTGGGCATTTAATCAACTGAAAATGTCATTGAATTAC